TTAATGAACAGAGTGTTTAAATAGGTAACTCACAGGCGGGTTACAGGTATAGCAGCATAGTGTAGAACCAATCAGGTAGTCTAATCATCTGTGTGATGGATTACTTAAATTAGACAATGACTAAAGTTGTACATATAGCTTGTTGTACACTCTTCATGTAATTACAAACGGTAGAGACTATCAATATATATCTCGTATGCAATTCTAATAAAATTCCTTCAGCAATGTAAGCCACCTTAATAACAAAAAAAAAAAAAAAATCCTAGCAAATAAACTTAACTCAATCTGCAATGAAATTATCCCTAATCACCAACAAGGGTTTATCATTAACAAATCTATTACAGACATAGCCTTAGATATTATTATAATATTGAGAAACCAACTAGATAGTTCTAATCAATACTGACTACTCTTTGTTGACTAACAAAAAGCCTTTGACAAAGTGAACTATAACTTTCTCAATATTGTCTTAAGAAAGATAAACTTTGATAAAAAACTAATGAATCTAGTAGCTAATCTCAAGTTATGTATATTATAGAAAACAATACTATATTTGAATCTTTCAGAGTAGAAAGAGAAGTATGACAAGGAGACCCTCTTTTCTCTTTGCTATATATACTAGCTTTTGAACTATTATTTAACTAGCTAGAAGAAAATCTATAGGGAATTTCTCTAAAAAATCAGTTCTTCAAACTTTTAGCATATGCTGATAATTTAACAATAGGGATAGACTCATTATCTGACTAGACTAATATAACGAACCTTTTTGAAACTTATGAAGTAGTATCTAATGCAAAGATTAACAAAAACAAGACTAAACTAGTTCTTCTTACAACTGCAGCTCAAAGGATCGAGCTTGAAGGAGAATCACTTTTCTCTAAAGCATTAGAACAAGAAACAATCATAATTCTTGGTTATGAAATTAATACAAAGAATATTCTTAAAAAAGACTTATGGACTAAAGCTATACTCAAAATAAAGAATTCATTGCAAAATCTCTCTAATCAGAACTTTTTCTTTAGAGGAAAAATTCTTTTAGCAAAAGCTATTATTTTATCTCGAATCTGATATACTGCATACTTGACTCTTTCAATCAAAAAACAAACTGCAGAGATCAATAGCCTTATGACTATTTGAATAAAAAACAACTCGAGAATACTACTCAGATACTCTATATTTTAGCAATCCTATAAACAAAAAGGCTTCCAAGCTCTAATAGTAAAAGATATACTAGATGCAAGACTAATTACAGTATAGAAAAAACTTCTCACTAGTAACTTTATTTGGACTAAATTTGAAAGAGAAAAAATTACAAAATTACTTCTTAACAAATAAAGTATAATAGTCAACCAAGTATTTAGAGCAGAAATAATTAAAATGAAAACTTGGCCAAAAGAATAGAAACTATATCTTCTAGCCTAGAAGAAAACTAAAAGAAAGATTATTCTATGAAAGCTTAAAGACATCAAAATAGAAGCATTTAATGGAGATGACCTCTTAGTTAAAAGAATTATAGAAATACTAAAAGAAAAACTAACACTAATAACAAGCTTCTCAGATCAACAATTCAACTAGTTGTTAATAAAAAAAGCCCTTAATAAGAAAAAGAATATATTTTAGTATCTCTATCACAAAGCTCTATCTTTAGACTACTGATTACAATATATAAACTCACTTATTATGAGAAATTGCCTCTGGTATGAAGAAGAACTCCAAACAGTCGAACACTTTGCTATAAACTGCAAAGTTAGCAAAGAAATATGAAAACTATCCTACTGCTTTTTAAGGTCTAACCAAGCAAAAACTCCTCTATTATTACTAGAAAAGATCTTTTCAGCATCTAATATTACTGACTATAAAAATACACATGCAGCAATCTGGTTATATACAAATATTATCTATGAAATCTGGTGTACCTATACAGCTGCTAAATAGAGAGACAATAATCTTTCAGATATAGCTCTTCCACTAATAACAATTAAACGTTTACAAAATAGTATACATAATCTTTTTTATAGTTTAAAAAATAGCTCTCAAAAGATTAAAAAGATATTTAGATCTATTCAAATGTAATTAAATAATAACTTTAATAAAAGAGCGCCACACGCGCCCCTAGATGTAAGCATCAGGGAAAAAAAAAAAAAAAAAAAAACTTCTTAGATAAAATGTTATAGCTATTTGAAAAATTGAAACACTTCATATAACTGTTGAATATAGATGTCTTGCACCATAGTAGGATAAAACATTAGTCACAAAACTTCGTTAATCTAAACAAATCACCCAAATTTATTTTTGAATTCATAAACTAGATGAGGTCTACGGCCTAGCCTTAGTATAGTTTTTAATTTTTTAATTTCCTATATTGAAACAAATTTGACTCTTTATATTATCGTGACGAATTTATTTGACGCAACTTTCTATATTGACGTAACTCTTTATCAGTTATATTGCAGTATGACGTAACTAATTTCTATAACTGATAAAAGAACATGTTTTTAAGTGAAAAATTCATCTGGGTGATAAATAAATTATCTCATATACCGATATAAAACTAATAACCTTCAACGTCAAACCTAATAAAATTTTTTAAACCACCATACATATTATAATATTATCATTATACGTAGTATTCCATGTAATAACGATAATAATTAATAAAATTAAATGATTTAATTGGTAATTCAGGTTGATCCAGTGCGTTAAACATCTGATATGTTATCGACCATAATAAATAGTATACTCATGATAAATTATATCCAAAGTATCCAAAGTATCCAAAGTATCCGAAATACGATCGAAACTCTTTCCGAAGTATTTTAACAGCCAATCAAAAACAAATACTGCTATGCTAATCGATTAACAGTTAGTAATCAATACTTAACAGTTTACAAAACTTCGTGATGCTTAATACTACAAAATTTAGAAATGTTCGCACTTCCAAGTCGCCATCACGTCGTAATTATAAGAGAAAGGAAAGTTTAAGAACTCGCGATCTGGATAAGAAAAGCCCGGTTAGGTCACCAGTTAGTCGAAATAATGGAAGAGAACAGTCACGTCCTCGTATTTCACCATCACGATATGATAAAAAAACAAAATCACCTATACATATACGTTCACAAACTATATCTCGAGATAGAAAAGTTTCTCGATCTAGCTTGTTTCACTCAAGAAAGGACCGTAAGTCAGGATCTTCTGATCGAGTGAACAATAACGGGAGAGAACTCTCAAAATCTCGGGAAAAATCGCGTCGTAGCTCTTCTCCCCATCATAGTTCTCATAGATCCTTGGTTCGCGGACAGGCCGACTCTTATCGACCAAATTACCAAAGTCAAAGATCGAGATACGATTCATATCGACCAAAAAAAGGTAAAAACTTATTGTTTTTTAAAGTATTAATCAACGATTAGTACGCGCATTTTCTACTTGGTGAAAGTTTTCTAAACGCACACAAATTTATCGTCATTACACGATAGTTGCAAAGTCATCTGACCGACAAAATTTAAGGACAGAATCTCGATCATCTACTTTGATTCGACCCGAAACTTCTAATATTGTTAATTTTTCTCCAATTCATGAAAATGCGGCAATAGAGCGCCCACGGCCTTATAAACCGATATATGATCCCAAAAAAGAACTTAGGGATCGTAAAGATGCATTCTATTACGAATATGACGAGTATTTAAATGGCAATTCAAGACTTAAGACTTCACTTCTTAATATTACTAACGCTCGCCAAGACATGATTGACCACATAATTCAATCTTGTCTACGTTTACAATTACCTATGAATTGTATGGCGGCAACATTGATATTCTACCAAAGGTTCCATGCAAAATTAGAACGAGATAAGAAAGCTTTTCCGGAATTATATGCACATCAGGTTGAGCATGACAACGATCTCATGATAGCGGCCTGTATGCTTTTTGCTGGAAAGGTTACAAATTGTAGAATTGGAGTAACAAATGCGATCAAAGGTAGCTGGAGGTAAGTTTGTGCAGCCTTCAGGACGATTATTTTATATTCGATCGTTGATTTAATTTGTGAAACAATACAGGCCGAGGCCAAGTGAAACGAGATGTCCCAACGAAGAAAGTTTCGCATTTCTTGACAGAAAGGAGTCGGTTATTCATTATGAAAATTGCTTGATAACGGCAGTTGGCCTTGATCTCGCAAAAGACACACCTTACGCAGTGGTAAATAAGATAATTTCTCCGATACTTGAGAAATCTGTGGGAACATACACTTTAGATGCGATTTGGAAAAAATTCACTAGACAAACCTACGAACAAATTCTAGAGTCTCTCCGTCGTACAATAATTGCTGTCACATATAATGCAAGTGAAATCGCCACAGCAGCGGCAGCTATTGCATCATTTCAAGTTGGAATACCTCTGCCAGGAGGATTATTCAAAGTAATCTTTTAATTTTATGTAATCATATAATCTTATGTAATCATAAAATCTAATTTTTTCTTTAACTTTTACGTTTAATTTAAATTCTAATAGTTTTGCATCGAGTGTGGAGTAGCTAGCCCATTAAAGGTTAAAGGTAAAGTGTCATATTTAATAATTCCCTTGGTTGTATGTGTATAACGGAAATAAATTCCCGTTTATACCCAATGAACCGATATTATTATTACCTATACTCGACTAGTTTTATATATCAGAATGAAAATGTGTCTACTTTTTAGAAATAATGTACGAACTTACGAAAGGAAATCTTCGGACTAATACTGCCGACGGATATAATTGGCAATATTAAATCCATGATTAAATTACAATCTTGGTAATTTTAATAAGCATCATCGATTCTTTTACAACTCGTAAAATTTGTTTTTTGTTTTCATACAAGTTTGTACAAATACCTTATTAAGTAAGCAAATTTTAAAAATTTAATAACCATTTTGTTAAAGAAGATAGAAGAATATTCAAAGAAGATATAGGATAAAATATAAAATAATAGAAGATAAAAGATATAAGAAAGAAGATAAAAGATAAAAGAAGAAGTTAAATGTTACAAGCTAACTTAAAGAAATAATAATCAAAGAAATAGTTGGATATTACAAGCCAACTAAGAAAAAAAAGATTTGTTTTAAAAGATAATTTTTAAAAACTAAAAGAAACTATTATTTTAGAAGAAAGAATATAAGTTAAGAAACTTAAATTAAAGAAAAGAAAAGAGAACTTTAACTTGTATAAGAAAAAATAAAGAAACTTGAACTTATATTAAAGAAAAAAAAGGGAACTCAAACTTATCCTACCTTGGTAGAAATAGCAGGGTTTATATAGCTTTTTAGACATTATAGAATGAGAACCTAAACTTAGGAATCTTGGTATGGGAACCTAGTTTGGGAACCTAATTTTGGAAACCTTGGTATGGGAACCTAGATTGGAAACCTAAAATAGGAACCTAATTATGGGAACCTAGGTTGAGAATCTAAAATAGGAACCTAATTATGGGAACCTAGGTTGGAAACCTAAAATGAGAATCTAATTATGAGAATCTAGGTTGGGAACCTAAAATGGAAACCTCAGATGGGAACCTCAGATGGGAACCTCAAGTTAGGCACCTTAGGTTGGGAACTCCTAGATGGGAACCTCGAAATAGGATCCTTTAGTTTAGCATCTAACATTACACGAACTCTAAAAAAGCAGTTTTGTTTAAATTAAAGAGTTTGATACAAGTAGGTTACACTGAGTTACACAAAGTTACACAGAGTTACACAAGATGTCCTATGGCTTATTGTTATACAAAAACGTCTAAATAGTTTAAAATTAATAGAAAAATATTATACTAATAAAATATAATTAATAGAATTTAAATATTAAAATTTAACTACTAAAAATTCATATTATAACAATATTTAATTCTTCTATAGATCTAGCTAGACTTTCTTATGCAGAGTTTGCTACTAGGTCTTTATTTAGCTTTGTGATTTCTTTATTTATTTTTGCTATCTTGTTTTTTGAGGCTTTGGGTTTTCTAAATACTCTGATAATAGATTATATATATATCTTATATAAATCCCAGTTTTCTGCTAAGCCATTATCCTGAATTTCTTCTAAGACTTCTTTTTTTAACAACTTATTCTTGAAGGAGTCTTTGTTGAATCTCCAAATTAAGCAGTAGTTATATTTTTGGTTAAACTCAAGAGTGTATTTTACTAAAAGATGATCTGAGTTTCCAAAGTATATACTGACTTCTAATATTAGTTGAGTATTATTCTCATCTATGAAGATGTAGTCTAAGCATATTGTCATAGAGTGATTATTCTGTGTTTTTTGAAAAAAAGTTAGAAATAGCTTTGTATCATATAGGTCTGCTATATTAATAAACTTTCTTGTTAGATCTAAGAGTTGAATTTTGATTGAATCTCAATATGCTATTGCTTGACTGATTCTATTTCTTTCTGAATTGAAATTGGTATTAAAATCATCTGCTATAATATTTATTGCATTTTTTTTAAGTTGTGGCTTCCAATTATTAAAGAAAGTAGTTCTATCACTAATATTTGGAGGAGTATAAACATTAGTTATTCTAAAGAAGTATTCTTTAAATATGAACTCTGTAGAAATTAATTTTCCTTCATATACTATTTGAGTGTTTTTAAATTCAATATCTTTGTTTTCTACTAGAATTGCTATCTTTTTAGACCAAATTAAGTCATAAATCTATTGTTATTTAAGAAAAGTTTGTGTTTTTTCATTATTAAAGTTGGTTTTTTGAAGTATTGTTATGTCTAGTCTATATGTTTTCAATAGTTAGTATTTTTGTTGTTTACCTCTATTGTTAAGTCTTTTTACATTTAGTATTACTATTTTTAACTTGAAATTTTGAAGCATAATTAATATAAAAAGTTGTTGGTCCTCTATTATTAGATTTGAGAATAGCTTCCTTCTCTATATGTTTTTTTGTATGAAGAGGGTCTTGTGTTATCTTTCTTTGAACTTGTGTTTCTTTTTTTTGGCTTATTTTTATGACTAATCACTGTAATGAAACCTTCTGCATCTGTATCTTTATCAGAAGAAAGAGAAGTTTTAGAGATATCACTTGCAAAAATTTTTTGTATATTATATCTATATATCGAGAACTTATTTCTAAGTAGTTTTCTTATTTCAGATAAGGGTATATCTGTTTTAGGTAATAATAATAGCTTCTGTTCTGATATATTGTTATTCAGTTCTATTCTTTCTTTATCAGTTGAAGGTTGTGTAATATGCTCTTTGTTAGAGCTAAGTTTCTCAATAACTATATGTACATAGTCTTCAGAACTTTCTGACTACATAATCTCTGTTGCACTTTCAGGATCTTCATTTAAACATTTGAGAGAATTAGAGTTTTCAGCTAATTCTTCTTAGTTGTTGTTAAGTAGATTTTTAGTCTGTTTTCCTTCTTTATACTTTTGATAACTCTGTCGCAGATTTACAGATTTTTGAAATTGATAGCATTTTTTTTTAATATAGCCTTCTTTTTTACAGAAATAAAATATTTTTGGTACTGATTTCTATTCAGTTGTGATCTTGTTATTCTATATATTGTAAAGGTAGGATTCTGTTTTCTAGATTAAGATCATCAGTATTTTTACAAATTATAATCTATTGGTCTGTAAGGTATGGTATACCTTCAATTAGTAAAAGCTTAATTAAGGCAATTATACTAATATTGTTAAATACTTCTCTCAGAGCTTTTGAAATTGCTTCCTTGTTGCTTAATAGAATATTTCTAACTTTAACTAGAAGAAAAGACTTTCTTAGATCTATAGGAATATATATATAGTAGGTTTTATTTTTTTTTTTCCTTAAGCAGTCACACTAATACTTTATTAGACTTCTTAAAAACTATATATTTTCAGAAGATTTAACCTAATTTTCTAAGCTTAGCATTACTCGGTTCCTCTATAGGGCCTAAGTATAACTTGTCACACTATCTCAAACGGAGATAGACCGTCTTGTCTGACTGCTGCTCTACAATAGAATACTGCCAATCTGATAATATCTTCTCATAGGGAAGCAAAAAACAAAAAAAAATTTTAAGCAAATAAAAGAAAAACAAAAGGAGGTATAAGGGTAAATGATAAAAAAAACAGATCAAGAAA